TTTTAACACTATTATAAGTTAAAAATAAAATAAAGTTAGCCTTTTGGAATACAATTTTGAAAAAAAAATGATGTACATTTAATCCATTATAAAAAGAATATAAGATACATAAATGCTATACATAATCTAATATAGAGAGTATAAATGAAAAAGGGAAAAAAACTTTTATGGGTATATATATATATATATATATATATATATATATGCATATTTGCAGGGTGTCCACCGTCGGTAACACTGACTAATCGCGCTCGCTGGATTGTAGGCACCTCAATGGGTGGGACAGCTGGCCAAAGTATTTAAAGTTGCTCCATGCCCATGGCGAGGTTCGAACCCTCGACTTATGGGTATATTTTAAAACAACTAAAATTATTGGGGTTAAAATGCCAAAATTATAGGGTCCACAAAATTTTTTTCTAACGAAAAATTTACAAAGTAACGGAATGTCAGCGGAGGTCAATTTTCATCAATTAGATTAAATTGGCCAGAAATTAGAATTTAGATGATGAATTTGGCTTCCCAAAAATCTTTTGGGTCACATTGGCCAAATACTTGAAGTTTTGGGCAAAAATTGACCATTTTCTCTAGTTTTTTCTGTTTAATCAGGTGGGTTTAGATATATTTTTACTTATAATGCACCCTCATTTTAATCCTGCGATTGTTAATTAGGCTAATTAATCCTACGGTTATTATCTTAAAACGGAACCGTCCTGTAACGGGACTCTACCCGCTCCCATGTATATTCGAGTGCATTTTTGTTCATTTAGTCTTTCTCACATAAGTTTAAGTGATTCTCAACATATCATATTTTAGTTATTTTACCCGTTTATTCATTTATTTTAGTTGTTTACCATTACTATTATTATTTTCTTGCAATAATATTACCCGTTTTTAGAGATTTTTTTTCTACTAAAAATGTAATTGTGTGATTGCTCCGAATGATAGCATTCTACTGTTGTTCTGCACCTTTTGGTCTTTCTAAAGTTATTTTAACTTAATTACTATATTTTAGTTTTTTTACTCGTTTGCTAATTTATTATAGCCTCACCCGTTGTCAAATATTTTCAACTGGGAACTTAATGAAAAATATTTCCCCCTCTCTTAATAGTATCGTTTTTAACTTTTTTTTCTCCATATTTAGTCTTTCTCACATCAATAAACTAATTCCAAGTTATCTTTGTTAGTTATTTTGATTTATACATTTTTCTCTATAGCTTTTGTCCATCCAAACTCTCGTAATTGTATCATTTTCTGTCAATAAAAAAATTGCATTCTCTACAAATCACATATAATTTATTTTCTCGTTTATTCATCTGATTATTGTTTTACAGTTTTTATTGAATCATTTATTTTTCTTCAATTATCTTTTCAAAATATTTTTAATTTGAAGTGTAATGGTATGTGTAATTTGAAATGTAATCATTTATTTATTTTTAGTTTGCATCATTTTTCTCCGCTCAATAATATCATATATCGAACCTTTTTTTTTTTTTTAATTACTCTTGTGTCATCTTCAATGACACCTTTTATTTGGGAGTTTCGGGAAATAGAAACACATGTAACTGGTAAAATTGAGAACATGAATAGTAACTGGCATATGGATATCATAGTGTACATTGCATTATTAATAGGATTAGCCCAATTGATTAACACGCAAGAATAAAATTAGGCAGAAACAATACATGCATGCCCATTTTTTTTACTTTGAATTTTATCAAAGGAAAAGAACAAAATACAAAAACCCTGTTGATGTAAAATCACCGTATCAAACTTTAAAAATGTATATGAATCCAAGTTTGTTCTAGATCAGTTTTCATGGTCGGTCTTTCAACTGAAAACAAAATTTGCATAAGATTTTCGCAATCAAGTCTCCATTGTGTCTCCATTTAGTTAGCCATGCGTAGTATATGATTCCATAGTTCCTTTTCAGCCTTATCTTCAAATTTGCAAAATCCAAATTCCCTTTCCTGTTTGGTGGAGAAGAGTTTATCCTTACAATTGAACATACAGAGACTGCTCTTACGCTAATATAAACATACAGAATGCAAATTTTGTGGTACATATAGATGGGGAACCCAAAATAAGTGTTTCTAGTTGACATCAATATCAAAAGATGCAGAACATTGGGGAAATAGCAAGCTTGTCAAAGGAAACTACGAATAAACTAATCATATAGTCTGATGTCATAGTGCATCACCCATCAGTTAACCATACTTTCTTTCTCTCTACGAACTTCAAGTGGAGCTGGCATTGTTCATGGCGGGTTGGCTAGCCATCTGAAAATTCATATACAGAAAGTATTGGGATATATGTGAATAACTTTTAGTACATGAATGGAACCTAAGAAGCTGAATCTAGAAAACCACAAAATAACGTACCTGTTCTTGATCCCACCAGCCATTGCCCTTAGACTTAGCCCATGGCTCTAGATCGTTCTACATATATTTAAAAGCTTCAGGACAAGTCTCATTCTTAGATCTTCATAGATAAGTGTCAGATCTTTGTTCAGTAACTTTGTAAGAAGAACTGCACTCGTAAGAAAGAAACAACATTTGAAGATTTTTAGAAGTAGAGTACTTTTATTATTGAGTGTTCATGGTGGGAAAGGATGCCGGTCAGGGCGTTAGTTCTAAGTTGTCCCCTGATAGTTTTGGTTCGTAAAATAACATTCCCCTAGAAATTATACATTTCTGCTTCGATTAATCAATAGATACAATATTTATCAATACACAAAAAGAAGCAAAAAATGTGAATTGCTCTAGTAACCAAAGCTTGGATTTTCCCTTCAAAACAAACGTAAGGTTCTTCACACCCAATAATCAAGTTGCTGTAAAACAGAACAAACCAAATAAGAGGAGAGGGAAAGTCTCTGAAACTCGTAACCTCCCAGACAATGTAAATATAAACATCTATAGCTGCATAAATTCATCGTTATTTGGATGGCTTACTCAGGATCCTAATTTTTTGCGGTTTCACCATCACCGTATATCTTCTTATCGTTCCGATTCCAACAACCTAAGCGATGATGTCTCAGATTAGAAAAGAAAAAAACACATATCCCAATTGCTTATGTTTCAACAATACCAGTCCCTTTGATCCAATGTTTAGATACATGAGCAATTATCTTGATTTCCTGCAATTACATATCATATATTAGTAGTTAATTACCAATTTACAAACATCTTAGAGTAGATTCATTTACGAACAAAATTCATGGAAAAGCTAATAAATTTCAACAAAAAAATACAGTGATTTGAAAAACGTGTTTCAACATAAATTAACACAATAACAGAATTGAAAAGGTTAATTACAATAACATATACGACTCGAAAAAGGGATGACTTTTAGTGCAATGATTACATCTTGCACCCCGGTAACCACCATCCTTTTCTCGACCCATTCACACTGGACTGTTCAAAAGAAATCCTTTGGAAATTTGAAAATTTTCCTATGAAGATCGAGTGAGGAAAAGATCGGAGGGACGAAGGACTGAGGAAAAACAGACTGTTAATTTATTATAGGGAGGTATATTTGATTGCATATTTGTTTTTTTGCAGATTTGATTTTTGGAGATAGGGAGAAGATTTTTAGGGATTTTTTGATGAAATTGCGAACAAATTCCAAATGTGACTCTGGATTATATTGAAGTTTTAGTAATTTGGAATACGAAGAGAAAATCGATGGAATGAAATCTTTTTCAGACGATGTGCACGGATATTGATTTGAGAATTTATTTTTATCTTTTTTTAACCAAAAAACTATAGAAATTGCCATGAATTTTCTCTATAAAAAAAAATAGTGGAAAAAACTTTTGCTCGTGAGAGTTTGACTTTAGTCTAGCATTTTTACAAACATTATAGTAAATTGAATTAATCTAATATTAACTATAAACCTCACAAGATTATAGTATGTTAATGTGAAATAATCAAATTTAAACCTTCAGCTCACTATTTAACTCCATATCCTAAGAATCTAGTCTAAAAGCTAAAAAGGATACCTGATTGATTAGTTGATGCGTTTAGAGCAATCAATCATGTGAGAAACTCAATATCCACCAACTTAGAGCTAATTAAGACAAAGAAGGGGAGTGTCTGGAAGGAGTACAGACAAGTAAAGTGAACAAAAATGTTGGTCAAAAGAGTGTCGCATTCCTTAACAGTGTGGTGGGGAGGATGAATAATTTAGGAGCTGAATCGGATATGCAACAAGTACTAAATATATATGAATACGAATATGATACTAATAGATTGTCCCACAAAAAGAACAAATTGTGACGTAGAATTTAACATATTTTCTAAAGGTAAAGCAGCCATTTCTTTTTTTGATTGTTAGTATTATTCAAAAAGGACAACTAATGAATTTTCTCTTCTCAAAAATTTTTCCCATTCGTATCTTAGCATTCGTAAGTGTTACTATCTCCGTCTTAAAATTATTGTCCAGTTTGGAGTTTTAATTTCAGTTCAAATGGTACTAAAAGTGAAAATCCAAATTGGACAATAATTTTGAGACGGAGACCGTACTAGTTTCTGGAGACTTGCATTGACGAAACGGTGTTTTTGATTCACAATCTCAATTTAGCGTACTAGGTGTTTCTATCCGATTATTGTTCAAAGAAAAACTTTTTGAATTGTTTTTTTGAAGAAAATAATACGAGTGAGAGTAGAAAAAACACTAATATAATCAAAGGTTACCTTAATCTACAAAAAAAAAAAAAAGAAGAAGAAGGAACTAAGTTGTTTTTTTGGTTTTGTTTGAAAGGTAAAAAAAATAATAAAAAAAATAAAAAAAGTTATTCAGGGGCTAATTGCTACTTTCAACCGAATTTAGAGTTCAAAAAGTCCAGAGTAAAAACCCAATTCAAGGCCCATTTCGGAAAAAAAGAGATAAACGAGTCGAAAGGAAAATTAAAATTAATTAACCAAACAAATTTCAACCAAATCGCAGAAACATTGATTCGCGTACCAATTTCTCTGCTCTCAACCGTTCGGAACTGAAATTTGATGGAGAAATCCATGGTGATAAGGTCAATTTATCGAGCTGCTCGGCGCCGGAGTCTAAGTATCTCGTCTTCCGGCAGAGGCGCGGCGCCCGCCATGGGCGTGAATCACATCAGGCATCTCCATCTCCATCGGTCCTCCATTGCCTCGTCCTCTCCCAAGAAACTCGCTTCTGGTACTTTCTATTCTTCTCAGCTTAATCGATTTTTGATTCGAAGGTTTAGATTCTAAGATTTTAGTAGATATTATTAGTTTGTGGATGGGCTTACCAGCTCAAATTAAGCTGGCCAACACTGTACTCCGAAATTCGTTCTGGTCCAGTTTTCACAAGATGATAATTAGGTGGCTTGATAGCAGTTGGTTGATGAAAGATATGTTTAATTCGGGGTGAAATTTATATGAGAAACGTGTTTGCTTTGGAAATTGTTTGTTCTACTGCCGATAGATTTTTTTTCTGTGGAATTCGTCATTGGCATGTCTCCCAAATCATTGAGATTTGATTTCTTGATCTGCGTAGGAATTATAAGATGATAAATGTTTCTGATGTTTTTTTGTCCCTTCTTTTGTTGAGTATTCGGATTGAGCGTTGAACTTACTGGTTTTGGATTTGGAATAATTGATCCACCTGTAGTAGTTAAGACTCCTTCAGCTAAGTGGACAATTCAACCAACCATTTCTCGTGTGTTATTTGCATGAAGATTACCAGTATTTATTTAGAATTGTAAAGCATCACGACAAATGTAGAGTAACCAATGGGGCTGTGATGTATTACTAATTGCTAATATAAAAGTTTTGTCATTCTTGATTGATGTGTAGGATCTAATTCTGTTTTTTTTGAACTCGCTCAATTTATTAGACTTCATGCCTACTTTGGCAATGAGAATTTGGAGTGTTCGTCAATTTTCTGAAGATGTAGCTCGTATGCCTGTCATAAAGGATGTAGAGATTGAATGTGCATTTAAGGACTTGATGGCCACAAGCTGGGATGATCTTCCGCCAGCTGTTGTCCATGATGTGAAGAAAGCATTGTCTAAAAGCACAGATGATAAAGCAAGCCAGGACGCTTTAGCCAATGTTTTCCGAGCTGCTGAGGCAGTTGAAGAGTTCACTGGAATTTTAACCTCTTTGAAGATGGCAATTGATGATAGCATTGGATTGAGTGGCGAGGTGAAATGATTTGCACGAGCTTTTGAATTATCATGTCGCAGGTGTATTTGCATTATGCTAAGGCTTAGTATCTTATGCAGGATGTAAAGCCAATGCCGGAAGAATTTGTTAAAGCACTTGAAACTATCTATAACCGCTATGAAACATACCTAGAAGCGTTTGGTCCAGAAGAGGTTTACCTGAAGAAGAAAGTAGAGAATGAGTTGGGCACAAAAATGATACATCTGAAAATGAGGTGCAGTGGCCTTAATAAAGAATGGGGAAAGGTACAGTCACTCTCATACTGTAGATGTTGATGGCTGGTGATTATTTTTTTTCGCTTAAATTTGTATTTCACTAGGGCGTGCTTTTTTTCCTTTTTTTTGTTGGTTTTATATGCCTTATCACCATTTAGAATTCTTAGTATAGCGCCATATCGATTTTGGTCAAATTTTACTGGAATGAATTACATATCCATGGAAGTGTTTTATTGAATTTTCTGTTGGCCAATTGTTTTCTCTGTTGTTCGTTGTCCTACTAGCAGTAAATGGATGTAAATTTAGTCCAACAGGATAGGTGGCAGAATAAATATCTTGTCAGGTTTACGAAGTAGGTTACCATACAGGTATAACTATGTTCTAGTTGAATGAAATCTTGATTGATGTTTGCTCTCTGTATTGCAGGTCACAGTTCTTGGGACTTCTGGACTTGCTGGGTCATATGTCGAGCAAAGAGCATAAGTCTGGTCACGTGCTGTTTTAGTTTTCAGCTTTTTTAAAATATTTAATAACATTTTTAGCTGGCTGGGTTTGCCTTGGTGTGCGGATGTTCTGGATTTATGAATTTTGCGGGAAAATAAGAATGTCTAAAGTTGCATGTAAAGAGAATCTTTTTGTTGTGCTTGATGAAATGTCATTAGCCCACTGTTTTCGTTTCCAGCTTCCCAGTATCCACTTCCATTTTTATGCTTCATAATCTTGAGGCTACAAAGCTCTTTTTCGCGAGTGTTTACTTATAGCTTTCCAAGGCGTAAATAGATGGTTGCCATGTTCTCTCTTTCCCTTTGTACGATCGGATTTGGGGTGCTAACGGCTGCACATGCTCAATTTTGCTTAATTCTAGTTCATCTTCATACTCAGAAAGCTATTGAAGCGAATTTCTGCTTAATCATCTTTGTTCTAGTTTAAAATCGAAGCCGTATGAAAGGCATTCGCATTCACCCTCCTAATCTTATTCTGGCATAGCATGCTGCTGTGGCCATGGCCAGTTTTCACGATCCTTCAAACTGTATTTTTGCATTTGAACAACTAGAAAACTAGGAGGACAGGGTAGATGAAACTCTGAAATTCTCAACCTCAGTCCGAGTCACCTAGTTCTGATAACTTCGGCTGATTTGCTGCGCCATAACCAAGAATCAGTAGGGGATTTAGGTAGAGGCGGAAGTAGCAACGCCTTTTTGCAAAACCCAAGTGGCCACCCCTTACAATGGCTACAACTCCTGAATTAATAACCGTCGCCTCTCCACATCTTGGAAATCGGTCCCGCTCAAGCTTGACTTGAGCTACGGGAAAATGTCGCCTTAGCAGATGCGAAAAGGCTCCATGCTCGTCACACTGGAACAGCAGGACTTCTGCTGACTTTGGGCTTAAATGAAGTCATCCATTCCTTCAACATCATTATTCCTCTGCATAGATTAAAAGGCCTAGGCCTAGATAGTGGGCCTATAGGTTAAAAACTAGAGTCCAGCATTTTGTTAGGCTATTAATAATCGATGTAATCCAATCTTCTGGGCCAATTCATAACAGCAGCCAACGAGACGAACTCAAAAACAGAATCGGAAGAAGAAACGAAGAAAATGCTGAAATTCTTGTCAAAAGTGAAGATCGAATTCAATGCATTGGATCCGAGAACGGCGGCGTGTATGGAGTTCTTAGCCCAGTGCAATGCCCGGAAAGCTAAAGACTCAAATCCAGCTTGCGAAGTCCAAGTGAAGCGGCGCACCGACGACCATCCGCCGCAAATCACCGTCACGTTCGTGAACGGGGTTGAGGAGAAATTCGACGCCACCACCACGGCGGCCCAGACTATCCGCAACATGATCCTGGAGAAGGGTCAGTATCTTGAGACGGAGCAGATGTTCCGGGAGGCTGGGGAGCAATGGCCTGTTATTATACCTAATGAAGAGCTCCTTCAACCATTCCTGGGCATTAAGGTTATTCCTGATTACTCCCTTTCTTTCTTTTTTTGTTTTCTGTTTGAAATTAAAATTTTTGGCAAGTAATTCTAATAGACTTGGATTTTTGAATTTTTTTTAAAAAAATAGTTGTTTTCATGTGATCGGTGGTTTAGGCATTTCCTCAAGCAGGCGGCGTGCATGATTTCATTGTTTAGTACTGTAGGCGGTTTTGTTAAGCATAATAACGTTTAGAGTATAGAGAGTTTTGCCAACTTACTGAATTTTATGCTAATCAACAATTGGTTAACTATCCAAGTTCTTGTAAATTGTAGTGATATGTTGGATTTCTTGTTTGGTTATTTGATCTTTTCCAGCCAAAGAAAGCCGAAGAGAAGAAGCAGTAACACTACAACTGTGGCTGGAAGCTGGCAGCTGCCCTGTTGAGCGTGAGAACAAATTAGGTTGATATGTCTTAATCTTCCATCTGTATTGGTGCATTCTTGTAATACTGAAAGGGCTATCATTTGAATATTTTATACTGATTTCTGGATAACTGTTTTGTTTTGCTTGATCACTTTGCATTCTCATTTGCTTCCATAATTTATGTTCTCACGAACTTGTGTGGCAAACTTTTGTTGAAGATACGAGGAAATGTAGTTCTGTCAACTCTTCGTGAGTTTGCAGATAATCAAAATTTTGAGACTAAAGGCTCTCTATTATTTACTTTTCGCCTTTGCTCAGTGAAAAGTATGGTATACTGCTCTGCTTGTAAACCTGACTGGAATGAGTGTTGCTACAGAGCATTACATTCTGTGCTTAAGATCATATCAAACTTAGTCAAGTATTAGAGATATGTTGTGATGGATTTGAAGCCATCCTAGCTATACTCTGAATCTGCGATGTTAAGTAATACTCCTTATCCTTTTGTTTATTTGGAGGTGATGCTGCTGTCTTGTTGGTGTTTCGAATTTCGGCTCGTACTATTTTTTTACCTTTGTGCTAACGTTGTGAATGCTGGTGGCTTTTTTTTTTTTTTTTGGCTCCCCTGCTGGTGATTGCATATCAAGAAAAGTAGGGGCAATGATAAGTTGGGGCTTATTAGGTTTATTGAATTTTCATTTGATGGTCTGGTGATCATGTGAAATCCATATACAGTACTATATCAGGTCATTAGGCATTCTGGGGGGTGTATGCTCTTATGGCTGTGTTTTATGGATTCATAAAGTTGTAATCATTTTGGTGGAAAGTTTTGAGGAATCCAGAGAGTTCAAAAGAAGAACATAATTCTGATTTCTGGTTTGGATCTGGGATGTCTCTAATAATTGTCAAGTTGTAGATTGAGATGGTCATTTTCTGTGATTTTGGATTGAGTAGTTCAAGTTTTCTTTCTTGAAGGAATTGAGATGGTCATTTTCTGGATATTATTTGGTAATGTAATCTATTTGGCTGTGATTTTGTAATCGAAGAGTGAGTTAACTCATGCCGGCTCGGGGATGTCTCTTGTAGCTTTTGGATATAAGTTCTCTGCCAATGAGAAGGTGATGGTGCAAAGTTTTGGATTGCAAAAGATGCCTTCTTTGATGTTATCTGTGGTTGTTAAGCAATGATTAACACACTAATTCGTCAAGTTTGCCTTCGGGTTTCCTAAACAGCAGTGTGATTATGAAATATGATTTTTTTTTTTTTTTGTGCATTTGCATTTGCTTGTGCTCTATGTTGTTGGGATACATGGTTCTTGTTTTTGTTGTGCTTTACATGCCAAGTCTGCTTCTATGGCCTTCAATTTCAACACCCCCTCATGTGCAGTGGATGGTCCCTACGCCTTTGTCATGGAGATTACCTGCTGCTTGCATCTGTGTTTCATTTCCCACTATCCTAGATTGTTTTTGTGTGCTGTAGCATTTCATTTCAGATTCCGATTTCATCATGCTTGACGCAAATGCATGTTTGGATGGATCCCAATATTCACCTTCAGTTAGGTAGTTTGATCAAACTGTAGGAAAATGTTGCATAGTCTCTCTTGCTTGTTTCCTAGCCTCAGCAACACCTCTGATCTTTTCGATGTTGGGATCAGCAGAGTTCTTATAAAAAATCTTGCTGAATTTCCTTGTCCTTTTGTTTATGGGCGGTGCTGCTGACTTCTAGGTGTTTCTAATTTTTGGATCATACTCTTGGTTAAGTAATATTGACTTCTTGGTGCTGATGAATCTGCAATGGTATTTTCTTGCCTTTCCCGCTGCTGTTGTAGTTTATTTTGCGATGCTGCTGTTTTTTCGTGTTCCTTTGTTGGCCACGAAAAGTAGGGGCAGTGCTAAGTTGGAGTTTATAAGGTTTGTTAAATCATTCATTTGATGGTGTGGTGCTCATGTGGAAGCCATGTGATTTATCAGGTCACAATATATAGCTTTTTGTTCGGTTGTTTTTCGCATTCGAAGACTGAATATGCTTACCTATGGAGAGCCCCTTCTTGAGACTTAGAATAAACAAGTCCTTTTGTTCAAAATTTGAGTCCAGAGAGTACACAACTTATGTTTGAAATTGAAAGAAGAAAGTGTAATGACAAATGAATTGTCATATGTATATTTAGCATCTACTGATAGTTCTGCAGATTCTTTGGTACTGTTTAATTGCCGAAACAACCTTTATTTCACCTTGACACTATGAAATTGTGTGCTCATTGTATAATGCAGAGCTTGTCACATTTGTATGAGCACTTTCTGTGAATATTATCATTACTTTTGAAACTATTCTTGTCAATTATCATTACTTAGACCTTCCCCATGCGAAGATGACCTGCACGTGAATCAATTAAATGAAGTAGTTAATTACAAATATCTCCTCTTCGTTTCTTATTTAAATGTGTTACTTTGTTTTTTTTTTAATGAGGTTAATTAATAATAAAGTACTATGGAAGATAGATTAACTTTAATCAAAAGTCTAAAATTCTGCAAAGAAGTTATGAGCATAAATGTAAAAGATTATTTTAACCAAATGTTAATGTAGAGGACCAAACTGTGTAAATGATCAGATTTTTATTTCTAATTCAAATTGTACTAAAATTGACAAACTGAACAATAATTTTGAAATAGAGGGAGTATTTATTTTTCAATTGAATTTATTAAGTGTTTTACTTTTCTTTCCGTCCTAGAATAATCATCTAACTTTTGAATCAAAACAATAAAGTAAAGTAGACTATTTTTTTGAGAAGGAAATAACACATTTTGCCTTGATTAAGAAACATAACAATATTTTGAGAACAAAATACTAATGATTAGAGTCAATAGACGATACAACAAACCATACAATCTATTAACATGAGAATTTTGAGAGGAAACGAATACTAATTATCATTGAACAAACGTTACTATGATGACATCAATAGCATGCCAATAGTATTGCCACCCACCCTTCCTATAAAAATGGATGTTAGAACCATATTGCTACAATAATCATTTGACTGAATTAGGAAATGATACTAAACCTGCATCGTTTCTTTGATCTGTAACGATGAAAATACAGCTCACATCAGCATTCAGAAAAGTATCAACACAGAGCTTTAACCATTCCAACTAGGAGTCCTATGGAGTAAAATTAAGGTATGTTTGGATCATTTTTTTAGTGTGTGTTTTTATGTGTTTTTTATATTGGAAATGTTAAAAGGTGTATTGAAAATGTAAAAAAGTAACTAGACTTACATTATTGTGTTCGATTAGCTTGAACTTGCTGCCATTTTCTTACACGTTGTAAACATGGCCCAACTCAGTAAATGGTCCGTATATTTCTTAAGACCTCCACCTTTTGGATAATGTGGCTGGGAGTTTTGAGAGTGCTGAGATGGTCAGCTTCAAAGATGCATACATCACCTGCCTTGAGCTGGTTTGCTAAGAAAAAAGCCCGCCAACCATTGCACAACTCCTTGTTTCTTAGAGAGACTTCATCTTGGTGCTCATCCGAGTAACTTGTCCACTTCCCATGCATGTCCAAAAGAATTCACAAGTATGGCTTTCTTTTCCCATCTCAGTTCATCATTTGCTCTTAAAAATTCAGCTGGCAGTGTCTGTCACATAAGAATGAAACAGACAATTGACGTCCGGAAGTATTAGCTTTTGAGCAGAGAGTTTTAGGCAAACAAATCAAAGTCTTTTATGCACAAGGATAGAAAAGATGACCACATAATTGCGGTTCACGTGATGTGCTTTAGTAACAGCTGTGAATTCATTCTCACTGCATCTCGATTTTGCCTCTGAAATTCAGCAACAAAATTACAGGCAATCATGTTTCTTGTCCAGAATCACATATATAAATTTGAACATAGTCCATTCAGAAGTAAGACTTACTTCTCCGGGTTTTATGACCAGCCGGAACAACACTATGCCAAATTGTCAGGAAATTTCTTCTCGCAAGCAGACCTATCAAACACATGAGTTTGGAACACCATCTGATTAGTTTCTTCAAACCAAATCATGCCATAAAGACTCAGGTCATGATGAAAGATGTAACTGGTCCAACCAGCTCCAGATAAGGGCAGGAGTCCATTGCAGCCGCACCTCGCTATTTTTACAGCCCACGTCCCCTAGCAGCTGATTAAGATAGCCTCATCTGGAAGCTCTCCACTCAATTTCTCACAGAAGAGTGAAGGAAACTTCTGTGCATTCAGAAACAAACCAAAAGAAGGTGATCGATATTGAAACATTTCGGAGTGCTAACTAAATAGCAGAGACGTAAAAGCCTTACGAGTGCTTGTTCAAATCCGAGCCCTAGTGGCTTGAAGAAGCGGTTAATGACTCGATCTTCATTCTGCAATGCAGAAGAATTTAGTGATGTTTAGCCAAGTTGATCACCTGATGCTTAAATTCTAAAAGGAGACTTAAAAACAATTGCAAGTACGCCGAATTCATTCTGAAGTTATAGACTGCAAGATGTAGACCGAAAAAGTAAGCACGGAACTCCAATTTTCATGCACAATTTCTATGCCAAAAGAATACAAGGTTCTGAATGAAGCATCTATCATCTTGGTTCTCTAATTAATTAAATGGACTACTTGAAGCAGCTTTTGATAGGTTATTCACGAGAAAATGAGAAAGGACAAAGAAACTCAGAAGAATAATGCTTATTTATGTTTCCTTCTTTGTGTGGAGTAAAATTCAATAACTACGCAAAGCTAATCATCCAACCAGAAGTGAACAAGAATGTGTGTATGTGTGTGTGCGCCCATGTGTTTTGGTTAGCAAAAAAAGTTGAAGAATGTAGCAAACCAAGTCCTCGAAATCTAATACTAATTTGTTGAACTCCTAAACAAATTATACGAGTTAATATGAGATCTTTTTTGCTATTTGTTGAATAACAAAAGCTACAATGTTTTTAGGTCAATTGGTCAGAAGTGGATACCCCAGTTGCACAAACCACCTACTGGTACTACGTACTCGATAAATTATAATCTTACAAAGATATTATGCAATTTTATCACCAGTAATTAGCATTTCTAAAAGGGTACTGACACCAAAGAAACAGAAGTTAGTCCGCCGAAAATCTTGATAAATCACACTCAATTATGAGTTCTGTTTTCAAGTCAGCATTCAATACATTCGGAGGAAAACATCAGCCACACATGGATGTTATAATAAATTGATAAAGCCGCAGATGATATACGACATTGCAAAATACAGAAATAGAGAGAAACCCCAAGAAAAGGAATCCCACCGTAGTATATGAAGCACTTTGGTTAGACCTTCTCTTGAACCTTCTAAAATTAGGCAGGCCAGATTCCTTGCCTTCTGTTTCAAAATAAAACTTGAACAATGAGCAGGTCCAGGAGAAATTTTAACTGAACCAAAATAAATTCTGGAGAAGAAAAGTAAAAGTTATATATCTGAACCTTCTTCCATCTGCTGGTTTTCATTATCGTACTCATCAAGGACTTCAAGACTTGGTTCTGTTTCAGGAATGGCTTCAATTATGTCCAACCGAGCGTCCTTGCTTCTTTTCTTTGAATGAGAACTTGGTTTTCTTTCAGGAATGGCTTCAATTATGCCCGACCGAGCATCCTTGCTTCTTTTCTTTGAATGAGAACCAGAGACGCCTCTAAATGACCGTATTTCAGGATTTAAATGTCTCTTTTGGCTTACGTTTCATGTTTTCTGCAGTTTGAGCTTCAAGTTGTAACTATCTCTGAACACCAACAAATCCACAAATTTCAGAGAAATAAAAGAAATCATTGGCTACAAAAGCAATAAACTGTATCAAAAGAGAGAATGGATTTGCAAACTAGTCCCAAAGAACATTTCTTTCTATAAATGAAACTAGAAACTAGCATATATTTATAAAAATCAGATTTGAAACTATATGTTACATCAAAATTTCAATGCATTTCCTAGCAGAAAAATGTATTCTTTACCTACTCAAACAAACACTAATGAAGACACTCTTAAATATAGGCAACAATTGCAATCCTTTCTGCTTCAAGACACTTCAACAACACAGATTATGTGGATCAAGAACCATACGTAACCGCAAAATGTCCTACACATTGTCTAAAGTATAAGAAAAACCATTTACCAGTGAAAATCGCATCAGTGGCGGAACTCTGTGAATAATGCCAAGCAAACCAACCCTGAACATACAAAAAGAGGAAAATGGTCAACTTTGAACAACTGAATTTGGCATTGGAAGTACTGGACTGATTCCAAAGGTGGGTGGTGAAAGCTTTATGAAGTCATGGAAGTACAGATGAGGAGGGATTGAGAGTAGATTAGGGTTTATTTAAGGTTATTTAGTAATTTCATGTTGGTAGGATTAAGGTTGTTTTACATTAATTTACAATTTCTAATTTGCAATCACTAGATATTATTCTTGTTCAACCCCTAACAAAGTACAACAGTAACACCAACAACTCAACCTGAGACCCATTGTTGTGATGCTCTATTAAAACACATATTTTTCATTTGAATTCAAGGGAGGGTGAAAAACATTCTCGCATAATTACCTCGCAGCGTTACCTCAAGAACATCGGCAGCTTTGTTAAGATCAAGGCTTCCATCCTTGGCTTCTCACATCAACTTTACAAACTTCTTCGTCAACAAACCTGCCAAACAACATGATGCACCCACTTTTAGAGCTCTTCATACAAATGCATGGCTCCAAGAAGACATATACATGCATATAGAATCTGAAATGTCGATTTGGCTTACCTAAAAAACTCTCATATCGACAGCTACCAAATAGGGCCAAATTGTCAAGAACCTCTGCGAGGCAAAAGAAAAACAATCACCTTTATTGCACGCCCAATAACATCAACAATCAACAGTACAAGTAGCTATAATGTACAAATCATGTGAAATTAACCTCCATTTGGTTCCATTGTTTCCAGTTTGGCATATTTTGAACCCCTTGGTCCTTTAGGGCATCCATTTGTGTGAAGCATTAGTACAAGTCCCGGCAGAATTATCAACTCATTCAGTCGCATTTGCACCTTTACTATACTCGTTTGTGAGCTTGAAGACAAGATCAGAAAGACATTTGCAATTAGTGAAATCGGCGAATGCTTTAAAACACTCCAATAATCAAAATTTCATCAATATTAATGCTGATTCCTAAACAACTATTATGTAATTCAAGAGTACCAATTTGTAACAATTCTAAAGAAGGCTCAGATAAGTATGGAAAAGTTCCTTAACGAACACACTTCTGTTAGTCCCAGAAATTTGTAAAGTACGCTGGAGATTCAATTCCAGAAGTTTCCACCATATATCTTCAAAAACAATAAAATACCACAACCATGTGACTAGAGAAAACTGAAACCCAAAAATAATCTGTCCCACCCCCCCCCCCCGATCACACACATTCAACCAAACAGAAAACACCCTTTTATCTCGAGAAGGAAAAAAAAAAAACCAAATTCGTGAAAAATTAAACAGTAAACTTCCATGAAGCCGCGTAAAATACAAAATAAGAAGGCAGAGACTCACCGGAAGACGGGAAGAAATTGGGGGCGGTAGCATATGGGAAATTGACCAGAATGAGTTTGAATTGACAAAGAATGGGCTGATTTTCGAGGACCAGAATGGGGTTGTGGTAATGGTGGTTCCAAATGAGCACCCGGAACTGATGAAGTCTTCAGACTGAGATTCAGGTTCAAGTCAACGTTGACAGCCCCACCACCGATATTCCCACCGCTGGAGGAGACGGCGCCGGCAGCGACGGCAGGAGGCTGGTTTAAGGGGGTTTTTTTTGTCTTTGTTTGAGGTTTTTTTTTTTTGGATTGAAAGGAGGCTGGTTTTTTTATTTTGAAAAATGAGCGGAAAAACTGGTTTCTGCTGAATTACTTCCCTTTAATTTCGTGAGCTTCTTTATCTAAACTGCCGCCAGTTTAGTTTTGGGCTTTTGTGCTGGGCTTACAAGTGGAAATGACTGATGAGTACGGGCTACAGGTGTCATTATAGAGAATAGAGGGCCCATATTGAAACAATGAAATATGAAATCAAAGATTCTTGGGAGACCCATCTCTAGCTAATATGGTGACGGATAGTTTAACAAAATCTGAAATTTCATTGGGTAAGTAAATGTTCTTTATGTTCCAAAATTAATAGATAGATTCAAATTTTTCTTTTAATATTATTTAAACTAGTGTTTGACTCGTGCGTTGCACATGAGAGTTGACCTTGTCTTACACGTACTTTATACGACCTCTTCTGTCGCGTTAAGGTATACACATGTATTGACAAAACAATGGTTGAGATTTTAACTTTTAAGTATACTATATTTCTTGCCCCTAATAAAAAATGTTGACGCTAGACAAAAATTTAAAATTGAAAATGGGTTGGTGTCATGAATACAATGGAATATCTATAAATTAATAATCAAAAATAATAACATTTATAAATTAATAATTTTATCTGGTCCCAAGTCGGGGACCGATACAAAAAATAAAAGCAAAATCGGTAAAATAATAAAATAATAATTTTTTAAAAAATTCATATGTAACTATAGATCCTATCAATAACACAAATTAATTTTAACATGAAATATATGTGTTGTGTGTGTATGTGTTATATATATGGAAAATCTAGAATCTCGTTGCTCAGTTTTACAGAACTGTCCCATTTTTCTTTCAACCAATCAGAATTGAGAATGTAACATTTATTCATGAGGTGCGGAACATGTGATCAAGTCCAAAATAGTTATCACTTACTAATCAGGTTATTTGTTTTTTTTTAAAAAAATCTAAATAGAATTAAAATTATCTAAATAAATATAATTGTTAACACAAATAAGAATCGACTTGCTCTTTTCTCGGATAAAATGTCTCTCACTACTCAATCTGATTTTATTTTATTTTTTTTTTCAAAATTAGAACTTTCTTCTACTTTTATCAAAACAATGTTCTTCTTTTTTTTCACGGTGATCATTTTTAAACTGCAATTCTAAAATCATTCTTGTTCATTTCTTTTTTTACCCCTTTAAATGTGGCTCAGACAATAAATGATGAATCGTATCTAAATAAGTACACAAGATAAAATTCTAACTAAAACTAGACTTCTAAGATTCTATATGAGCCGAAGCAATTGAAGCTACCGAGAGGCAATATCATAAAAAATTGAGGATGGATCTCCAAAGGACCCCTTATTCTTCAATCATGAATGCAAGTATGCAGGATGATGTTGAGAGAATTAGATAAGGTTTGAAGATCATCAATAGGGGGTAAATCAAGTTGGGTTTTTTGGGAATTGAATGACAGCCTAGTGGTTAGGTTGTTGTCCTTCCTGGTAATAAACCAGGGTTCGATTCTCATCAGGGATTGTAAGGGGGGATTTTACCCACATTTAAGTGGGGTTCACTGAGGTAGATTTTTTTTTTTTAAAAAAAAACAATGCCTCCAAAATGAATTGGATTTGAGTAGTCGTCCTTAAGATGGCAAGAATATTATTTAAACGTTTTGGGTGTTCTTTGTATTACAGCTTATCAGATACATTTTTCTTTTGGCATATGATCCGCATCGAAGCTTAGTTTGGAAGCAAACAAATTGATTTCCTTTGGCCTGTGACCAGCGAACCATTGTGTGTGTGTGAGGGGGAGAAAGAAAAACTAAGAACTAGTGAAATATGAAGATATAAATATATATATATATTTTCTTGTAATTTATTTCTAAAGAGATATCATCTTTGATTTATTTTATTACTTTCAAAGTTCTTGTATAGATTTTTTATATTGTAATAAAAAATTTTGAAGAGTTATTGCCGTATTAAATGTTTCTCTGAATCATCATTATTTTCATCCTAAATCAAATTTTTAGTGACACTACCATGTCTCCGGAAATTGAATAACAGCCTATAGTGGTTAGGACATTGTACTTCTTAGTGCTATACCGGGTTCAATTCCCACCAAGGGGTTTGTAAGGGTGGTTTACAGTCCACTGGGGTGGTCTTTTTTTTTTACATATAAAAAAAAACTACCATGTCTCCAAAAATTTTATTAACTAATTGTTAATTTATTACTAAATTAATAGTTTATTGGGATCCCAACAGTATTAGCTTATATATATTTTATTATATATGTTACTAAATGTAGAGTAAGGTAGGGGTGTAACTTGAAACAATGTATTTAATCAGAACTGATGGATTGACAATGAAGAATGGCAAATAAAAAAAAAAGATTCACCGGAATACAACAGATAAAAAAAAGGACTGAAATAAGATGAAATGGTGTCTCCACCGCTGTAGTTTTTGAATTATCTGAACTGATGGATTGAGGGACTAATTTTGAAACTTTATTCCTCTTTGACTAATATGCTAGGTATCTTTAATTAATAAGCAGGTACCATTCCAAAAAAAAAAAAAATACTCTTACCTTATTAGATTCATGCATTCCACTCTTCAAACATCAATCATGCGTTAGCGTTTCTGAATTCCAAAGAAGGTACTATTAGACAAGGCCATTTTGATAGTTTAGTTATACCTTGTTTGAGTCTTAATTAGGACTTAAGAATATGAGTAAACAAGGACTTAGAATTTACCATCTATCATTAACCTATAAATTCTCATATTATCTTTATAGAAGTGTGTAATACAGCTCATACACAACAATTTAAAAGAATAATCTGTTGCTCTTATTGTATTGGTTGTGAATTTGAGAACTAAAATGGTAGAACTGCTTTTCTACATTCATGTTTAATTAAGTGTGCTTGTGCAGGTAACATTGCAATGTTGAATCATTGGGTTGGTAACTCTTTTTGCAGGTTTTATAGTATTGTTATACTTGGAGAATACTGTTCACGTCATTGGTAAATTTGATAGCGAGGGAAAGTATGACATAAGTCATGATAAAAACTTTTTGATTGTTAACCCTGATATCTTGGTGTCTAGAACTAGGGTATCATATTCTTTTCTTCTCCATTCTTTGCTGATTAGCATTAACTCATTTGTGACTCGACATCATCCATCTTTTATAGTGACTATCTTTAAATGCCACCATTTTTATCTAATTGATCTAATTCCTTTCTTTAGGTTCTTTCTTGAAAAGTTGCCCGGATGTTTGAATCTTTGTATAATCACGAAGTAAAACCTATGCAAGCACATAACCACGAAAAAGAACACCTGGACCAGCAAAAATCTAAGCTAAAAATGTGATGGAAGGGAAGGAAAGATGGAGAAGGTGTTTAAGATTTGAAACCCTGGTCAAAACGACCCGAAGCTCCCCACACGTTATAGATCAACGTTGAAAGACTTGGTGTGCTCAACTAAAATGTCAAATAAAGTATCCACAGACCAAGAACACTTGAAAACTTGGCTAAGGTTAGCTACACTTCAAGAACAAACCCTAATTTGTTGGAAAAGCAAGTTATTCTCGCGAGAATAAGAAAACAAGGAGAGATCTCACAAGTGTATGAATAAAATTCTTTATTATTGAAGTCATGCCATATTGTATGTAAAAGTCACGACCAAGGCCCCTATTTATAGGCCAAGGAGCTGCCTAGGTCAACCAATACAAAGAGAAATTTAGTTTGAACTCATATTTGGATTTCTTGAGCTAAAAGTTTTCTAAACTTCCAAAAAATAACTAAAATAATAATTAAATAAATAATTGCACATGCTTTAATTATTTTTAAACATTCTAGTAGGTTCTAGAAAGCTTAAAGAGTCGGCCATAATCATGAAATTACGGAAAAATCCTTTTCCTAATCGAATTAGGAAAATTGGCCAAATCTGCCCGTGCATTGTCGGCCTTGTCGTCGACCGACATTCTGCCCGATGCTCTGCTGTAGACTTGTCCGTCGACGTCTTTATCTCGATAAGAAACTCGATGTCACCTTGTCAACTTCATTGTGGACTTGAGTTTGGCTTGATGCGAGCCGTTCTTTGGTTTCAATCTTCCATCATCCTTGATACCTACCTCAATATGATACCTTATACCCCGTATGTGCTCACGATCAATGTAATGATCATCATGGTTAGATATTACACATAATGGTCCATTCATGATCACATCAATAAGGGATTCTGTATTCATCGTATTGTATTCATAATATACAAGATAAATGTGATAAGATTTACAAATAATACAAATCATATCCCTATGATTATTGTAAAGATATTTACCATTTATAACAGATTATATCATGAATCACTTAAAGAAAGCAAGACCTCTATCCCTTAGGGCCTGTTTGATAAAGCCACTTCATGTTTAAAATTATTGGATTAAGCATTTTTCCATTTCAGTATGTTTGATGACAAAAAATAAATTCTCTTAATAAATTAAGTAGTGCTGAAACTACAACACAAAATATAAGCAACAAAAGTTAGCTTATTGCTTATTCCGTAACTGCTTAATGAATTCTGTATTTCTAATTCAGTATTAAGCATTCAGAATTAAGAATTACTTTTTATCAAACAGGCCCTTAGCTCGACAACAATTGCCCTTGACTGACATCTTTTTTCGTGTTTTATTATTATTATGTTAATTTCTATTTTTTATTATTTATTTATTATTATTGTTTATCTACTATGTGCTTGCAGGAACAACATGAAGTCATTGTTTCGATCTCGTGTTCATCTATTTTGGAGTTGAAACTATTTCTCAATGTAGATTTAAATTCAAAATCTATAGTGATTTACGTTTTAGTGCCGCTCTCATGCATTTTTTTATTTGTCAATGAGCTCCATGGAACCATGCTTACAAATGGATAGTACATAGTGTATTCTGTTTCTCTGAAATATTATTCAATATTCAAGTCATTTTAAATATACAATGCTTATTTATCTACGTGGTAGCAAAAACTTTGATTATTTGAATGATTTATCAAATTAGGCATATGATCATGTTAAAGAGCATTATAAGTGATGTAAATCAAATATGTATGTTATTATATACGATTCCACTCATCCTTTACTTCTATTTAAACTCATTTAGATGGTTTTGATAGTTATGATTAAGTGTAAATCTCTTTGATCGGTGGTTTATCACTGTAGGCAAGTAATTTGTGTGAAAATGACAATGAATCAAAGCAGTCCTATTTGGAAGGCCGTATCCAGAGATCCACAGCTTCGATTAAGGAGTTTTTGATATCATTGTGAAGCTGAAATTGAGAGATACAACTTTCATGTGAGTCACATCTCCAAATTCATATCATAAAAGGGTCAAAAATGCATTTGAAGTTCAGTTATCATAACTGGCAAGAAAGATTCAAGTTGAGTTCCTTCCTTTTGAATTTCCATCTTGAGTTAGTCCATCTTTTCCGTTTTCCCTGAAATAATAATGGACGAGATCAACTGCAATTAGATTGATATAAGAATTGAGACGAAATAGTTTTAAGGGGGAAAAAAAAAAAAGAAATGTTGCTGTGACAATCACAAGGATGGAGGACCAATGCAAATTCATACGCTTAGTGGAGCTGATTGAACCGCCTGATATATGCATTGCCATGTTAATGATGCGAATGTCTTGTCATTTAGCAAAAGGATAACTTATCATTAAGGCAATTGGAGTTTTTATTTATTTTTTTATTTTTTGGGGCTAAAGAGAGTACTTGTGAAGCAACTAACTCTGTTGAAAAATGGTTTTTATGTTACAGAAATTCTGTTAGATTTGCTTTGGTTCTATTTATAAGGCACAAATGAAACTAAATTTAGCTCAAAATTGCCTTACGAACACGAATTAAGGAGCACAATATTGCTAATGCGTTTTGCAAAATATAATGGATATCATCGATTGGTCAAAATTCAGTTTCTCCCAAAATTTTCTTTCCCCTCCCCTCACCACCACCACAAACCTTTGTTTCCTACCCTGTTACTAATATATTGTACTTCACAATATTCTCTAACTAATACTCCTTTTCTTTCTTTTGATCTTGTTGAGTTCATTACTTTCGATTCGTTGTGAGCTTTGGAGGGGCAAATTTTACAACCGAAAATAGAAGGGTAACCGATGAATGATATTGGTTCTCTCTCTTCCCCCTCTAAATTCTTCTCCTCTTTTCCATCTTGTGATTTCTCCTTCTTTCACAATTCAACTTCTCTACCTACCTCTAATCCTCAACCCTCTTTTAGACTCTGATAACGGATTATTTATAATTGAGTTCTAAGCTCTTGGATTCAATGGCAGAAGGCACTCAATAATTATGAAAATCTAAAAGGACAACTAAGATGCAGGAGTCAGGATCAACGAATACTATTAAGTCTATTAGCACAATACATTAGACAGCTGGAAAGAATATAACTGGAAGTAGGGAACAGAATGATTGAATTTAAAAAACACAGATAGCAGAATGTTACTAACTTAAACGCTGTATCATGGTTAAGATAACAACCCCTCAGGATTTTCTAAGGACAAAAAGTACTTAGATAAGCTTACTAGATTTAAGCCAGCATTCCTGATTTTTTTAAAAAAAATGATCTTGTGTAAGACACAATAGTTTAGCTTAGGGCAATTAAAAAGATGCATGGCTTAGCTACATGATATACGCTCTATAAAAATTGAATTCGAAAGTTTTAGTTGATTATGTTATTATGTTTTGTCTTACTCCGATTAGCGCTTTTTGTGATTCTTAATTCAATATTGCTTGTGTGAAAATCTCTGCCGAGAAATTCATGTATTTTTATAAATAAAAGACAATCACACAATTAACTAAAGAAAATGGATTTCTTCACAAGTTGTTTATTTCAATTTTTTTCCCACAAGTAGCAAAAAGGAACACAAACAAACTAAAAAAAAAAAAAAAGAATAATAAACAAAATGCCTGTTTAGAATGTAAAAATATTGCAATTAGACCATCGGGAGAGGGTGGATTCTACCTCGGAAGTGAAGCAGCATGATGATCACCTTCTTGAATGACATGATCATTTTCAAACACGATTGTCAACTCTTCAAGACCAAACTGGAGTTTAATCAAATCTGAATTATTTTGAAGAACCTCAACCTAGAAGAAGCTTTAATATTGAAGAGAAATATATTTAGTCATTTTAGGTGCTTGTTCCCCTCATTTCATACATTGTTACTATTTTCTTTTTCTTTTTTTTTTTGTTAAATTAGATGGTCCAGTGAGAAGATCTGAACCTCCCGGTAATAAGTATCTTCCATGCTAATTCCCAAACCACCCACCCAATCTCCACATTCCACAGTCCACGCCCTTGCCACAATTGTCTTCCATGCATAAATTTGACCAACTTATCCCAAACGGCCAAACCCAATATTGCTAGTTTTACGTGTGTGAAATGAGTGGAATCTAGCTTGACCTCAAGTAAGTTCCACTGAGCCAAACTATTCGAATCTGACATTTATAGACAAGTTTAGGTATCCCCAAAATTTTAAAGCTCTAGCGACATGTTTCCGCTTGAATTGAAGAAAATTAGTTGAAGTGCAGATTCATTAGAGCTAAAAAATTTTGGACCCCCCTAGTCTAATTTTTTTCTGAATATTGAGAAGATCAATTGAATTCAATACTCAAGTTCTATCAAGATTCAAACTATCGAGCTCTAATATACTAGTACCTTTTCAAAAAAAAAAAAAAAACTATTGAGCTCAACGTAACTTGAAGTTAGGCCTTAAACAATTTATCATTAATGTGAACAAGGAGAGGAAGGGCGCTTGGAACTCGAAAGAGCTAATAGTTTTCTTTCTTTAGTCACCATGGCCGACATGTACTCATAATTTGCCTGATTATATTAGTTGATGATTTCCCAAATGGAACCCTTCCTTTTTTCTTCTTTTTAAAGTTGATCAGCTACTGCTCTTAAAATACAAAGCTTAACACAGAATAGTGGTACAACATGAAGACATCATATGAGAACTTCTATAATGTCCTTGGTGTAATTGGCATCCACCAAGCTGGAAATCAGACCAGAGGTAAGTCAATGGAGACATTCATCCGTGAGCTTGCGGTCTGGCAGACTGGAAGGTATTCAGGTGTAATTCATATGATAATTCGTATAGGAACTCATATGGTAACTACACTTGAAACCCAAGGAACAACCAAAGGCGCATTCGGGTGGGCATTCCGATAAGATTTAGAGTATTTGTCTTTGAAGTTCAATTTAGGGTTTTCTGCTTGCATCCGGTGATAAAAAGAGGAATGGAAAAGCATTAGAGTTTTCCAAATGAAGTTCACTAACCACTTGGGAAAATAACAAGAAACAATCAAAGAGATGTGATACTACTTGAATAACTATTGTATGACTTTCTACCAACAAGTAACAATCAAAGAGAAAAGATACTACTTAAGTAACTAATGCATGACTAAACAACAGTACTTGAATAACTAATGCATGACTTTCCATTAACATTGCATCAATTCATTATATGTTGGGTAAACTTCCATAAATAACTACAAATAAGAATAAAAATCCACTTTCACTATAATCACATCGACAAAAGTAAAGGAAGGCAAAAGCTTACATATTTAAGCCAGCATTCCTGATTTTGGTGTTCGTAAATGTCTGGAGAATAGCAACCTGTCTCGGATGGACAATAAACCCATATGTTGCATCTTTTCTCGTCAGGCTTAGCATTTTTAGCTTGATCAATACAAGCCATACAACAATCATACGCCAACTCTTTCTGATGGGTTAGACCCCATCTCACAACATCACCATCGTAATTTGTGTATAGTTCGGCATGGCATTCGGGTGGAAGCCGCTTTCCAGGTAAAATTTCACGTTCTGCAGACACAATTGAATCTTGTAAGTAGGAGTCTCGTGGAGAATTGAAAGAAAAACATTATCTCCAAGAACTTAAGAAACCAAAAGAGTGGCATCTTCTTCACAAATGCTTAATATCTTTTCATCCTTCCCCAAGGGGAAGCAAAGTCTAGCAGGAGGAAAGTATATACAGCTTAAAGCACAAAATAGTAGAGGAAATTTAAAAGCTGATGACTACCAAACTCTTCAATGCCTTGGGGTTTGTCATCATTCTCCTTATTAACAACTTGAAATGGTATCCAAAGACCAATTTCCTCTGAAAACCTAGCCCAACCAGAATCCAGCGCTCTCACAAGCATGCCTATAAAATAAAAATATTCTAGATGTGTTAGTTCCGACATTAGAACAAACAATCAGCAGAGTCTATACTTAGCAAGCACATCTTAAAAACATTACCTAAACATGTGAGCACCAACAAAAGATGCAACCCCAATTTTGTTTCGACTTAAGAAAATACAAAAGTTCTTTCTTTCTACAAGAAATTCACTCTCGGTGGTCTTAATCCTTTTCCTCTTGTGTTTCCCGAGTAGTTCAAAATCAATATATCCAAGGAGTGACCAAAGCACACAACGAAATTGATTCATATTCATCTATAAAAGGGATTCTCAAATAATTTTAAAAATGAGATGATTGGTAAAAATCACCCTCAAATGCAATAGACGAAATGAACTTCGATTTCAAGCTATAGCACAGAAAATTACGGCATAGAAAACTATTTGTAAAATGTAAGGAATATTTGATTCCATCATTTCGGAGTCAACCTCAAGAGATTGGGATGCTGGAAATAACATTGATTGATTAAAAAAGAGTAGAGAATACCAGCTTCTTCTGGAAGAATGCTTGAGTTTGTGGTATTTCCCTCAGCAATTGATTGTGTTTCACTTAGTTTTAGCTTGCGCCAATGCTCAACTACCTCTGTGATAAAGACGACAGTCATCTAGTGAAAAAACATTCAAGTATTTTAGGGAAAGAAAGGAGGTGCAAATCTAGCAGTAATGATCTCCAGTACTACGGAAACTATGCCATGAACTGAATATCAGATTAGAACAATCATCAATCTTCAACACTAAACAAAAAGAGCTCTTCTAAGAGCAACATTTTTTGTAAAACATAGAAAACATCAGATGTTCAATGATATAAATTACCAAACCCCTTCAGGGAGTTACACATAAATTTTGTATGCATAATGCATCTACAATATCACTAGAAGTCAGCAAGTTACAACGTAGAAGATATTTATCACTAGATAAAGGGACATGTGAAATTGATGTTCCTGGTTGAAATCACTCAACTACACATGTGAAGACATTGATACTTGTTATGAAGAACCGCAAAACAGTCACATTTGATAGAAGTTACTTGGACACATCTACATATTTCATCTTTTAAATAACTAGCATAACCAAATAGAAATTCACATTTTCATGCCTAGCCCTTGGCAGAGGATGTACTTTTTCTTACGATCACATAGTTCCAAATGTATATACTCATTAAGGTGCTTAAAGATTTGTATTTATCACTCCACCAATGGCTTCAATAGTTCTAACTCTTCTACTTCTCATCAAGAAGACATCATTTGGTGATGTATATACTCGTTAAGGTGTTGAAAGATTTGTATTTATCAGAACGAATCATTGGGTGTGTATGTTCTCATTCAGGAACTGGCATATCTGTACAAATCAGAGCAAATTTTCATCTGAATCTATTAATTTAATCCCCTACCCGTTATATTTGGAGTTTTGCTTCTGCTTCCATATTCTGAACAACTGCTCTATTATTTAGGAACTTGTTGAACAACAAGGTTAAACTTAGGTGGATTGCTTCCATGGAATTTTATGGGGAGTGGGGCAGAGGATTTATAGAACCTGGAGACTTTCCTAATTTCAAAGAACACGAGGGCCTGATAGTTCAACTTCCCGTATCACTAAAATTCTTTTATAAATCCCCCTCTCCCCAGGGTTTTAATCCCCTACCCATTATATTTGGAGTGGGGCAGAGGATTTATAATCCCCTACCCGTTGTATTTGGAGTTTTGCTTCTACTTCTACATTCTGAACAATTGTTCCATATTTTAGGAACTTGTTGAACAACAATGTTAAACTCAGGTGGATTGATTCCATGGATGTGGGCAGACCATCTTGATCATATGGGGAGTGGGGCAGAGGATTTATAGAGGACCTGGAGACTTTCCAATTTCAAAGAACACGACGTCCTGATAGTTCAACTTCTCATATCACTAAAACTGTTCTATATTCCCCATCAAACCCCTCCCCCCCACCCACCCAAAGGAAATCACAAGAACTTACATCATGTAAACAATCAAGATTCATTCATCGGCAATTGGAGGTCCCTTATGAACCCATTTGTGCAATGTGTCAGCTAGCCCTCCCATCTGTGTGTGTGTGTGTGTGTTTTGGGGGGGGGGGTAGATGACAAAGATAATCAATTAGTAGATGCTTTAGCAATACAAGGAGATTATCAATTACACATAGAAGGCTTTGGATTCCAGTTCTATTTGAAAAAATCATTTTGGAATGATATGCCTGGAGTCGTCTTATCTAGGATGGCAGAAATTCCATTTCGAACATAGTTCACTCGAATTTTATGATCTGATGTTTATTTAAGACAAGCAATCCACAATAAGGTGTTTGTTTAAGATAATAGCAATCCACAATAGCAGTCAGTTTGTTCTCATTCAGAAGACTATTCGATAAACTTGGCTCACACAATAAGAGTACCATCTTCAAAAGAGTGACAAATAAGTTACTGAAACAAGAAAGTTATAAATCAATGTTCTTGAATCCAGTTGATCAACAGGTTTAACACATTCATTGGAAAATTCTTCAACAGCATTCAGAGCATCAGAGAACAAACTATTAGCTTCAATAGGATACTGTTTGCTGGCAAATCTGATCTCTAAGTAGGATCAAACTGCTAAATGTTTACCTCTCACAATACTCAGTTATAAAAGCTATGAAAGGAAGTTTATCAAAGCAGATATATTATTTATCAAACCACATTATGCATTTCAAAAACCTTCATAATTTTAAAACCTTGCCAAAAAAATTTCTTAGCACTCAACACATAATGCACACTCCATGATGACTACAAGAATTAAGGATACTCAAATAAACAGTGCAATAAGATATAATGGTTTTCTACCAAAGCTACAATCATGAGTCTCAAAGATATCTTTATTTGCAGTTAGTGATGCTCCAGTGTAAGCATAGCACCATCATAGTAAAAATTCAATACAAATAAATCATCCTCTAAATAGTATAAGATGAACTTCGACATGTTTTCTCCTTTCCTAAATCTTTTATCCCACAACAGCCTAAATAATCAAGTTGACCGTAGAAGTGTCCTGGAATGCTATTCAACAAACAATCAATATTCAACAGACTAGTAGCAGCAGAAAAATAACTTGTAGTTCAAAGAAATAATTACCAACCTCGATGCACAGTTGAGTTGGAAGTTGAATTCAAGGCTCTTAATCTCGTGATTAGCTCATCTGTTATCTTTTGTTTCAACGACCGAGTCACTCCTTGCATCCTCTCTTCTTTTAAAATTTCTTTCTTTAGCTTTTCTACCTTAATTTAACCAACAAAGGAGGAAAATTGTCATCAAAAGCTAATAGCACACTTACACCCCCCCACAAAAAAATCCAACCAAACCGTTTGGGAAAAAAAGAGACCTTACCAGTTCCACAAGACGTGTAGGTTCTGACTCCTTTTGTATTCTAATTGATTCCTCCATCTTCCTTATCTGATCTGAAGTGTACCTAAAAGTTGTAACCAATCCACAAAAAAAAGAACCCATCACTCTAAATTCCAAAAGGGCAACAATCAAACTGGTTTGGATCAACCACAAACACGCCAACCAAACTAACAAAAGGGCACCCAATTAATAGCAGAAACCAACAGAGAAGGTGAAATTAGACAGACAGAAGAAAGCTGGGAATTGATAACATAACACTTATCGGCGGCTAAACCATCAAATGGGTACATGTAAAGTGAATCATAGAGGGAATGGAGTACAAAGAGCGCTAGAACAATATTGATTGAACAGATAATAACAGTGGTTCACTTGTAAGAACACCATCTTCCTCCTCTCCCGTAACCAAAATTACCACTATTACTATTAACAGAAGTCACCCACTCTGCTCTCCCCATTTTCCTTTTTTTTTTCTTCACTCTCAATTTCTCCATTCGATCATCTCCCAGTCTCCACCCTCCCCAATTTACGCCACTGTAACAATTTCAAAAAGTTCAAAAATAAGGGGGGGGGGGGGAAACTCAAAGGATAACTGGGAAATTTGCAGGGCTAGTTTAGTAAAGTGAAATGCTGCAATCAAAAGATACTCAAACGGCCAAATTCCTCTTGTCACCGACTGGGAATTAGAATTCACATTTGATAAAGAAATGTAGGGAAATCAAAGAAGGTAACTGAGATTAAAGAGGCATTTAGGGGAGCTGAGAGAAAAGATGAATTTGTGGAAGAACCAAAATCTGGAGATTTTAATTTAAATCATGAATGCGCTGACCAAAGTATTTATAATGTGAACCCTTTTGCGAAAATTAGCATTCTGTTACAAACATTTAAATCGTTTTCTGTCATCTTCTAAAGTTCTAATTATAAGCTACTGTGTTGTATGTTTTCTTCCATTGAAAAGTTTTAAATGTGACATTGGACCATTGTGTGACTTCATCATAATTGACAATGATTTATGTTATTGGGATTTAAAATTTAAACCTGAAATAAGTAAAGATTAATGGTTGATTTCAAATATTTTAGAAGTGTTTCTCACTTTTTTCCAACCATATAATTACCCCCAAAAAAATAAAATAAAATAAGGTGAAAGAATTAGATCAAACATGCAACCCACATCTATCTTTGCTGATTTTAAGGTTGAAATTTGAATTTGGTGGTATCCAATTAATATCCATTGCAGACTAGATTATTTTGATTCTTTGATTTAAAATTAAATATTCAAATATTACTACTATATGTTATTCCCTCTCTTTTAATTTTTCCCTATAAGCACTCAGCCTTTTAATTTTTTTTAAAAAAAGTAGTACTATTAGTCTATTATAACGATTTTGATTCCGTACTGTTGGTGTAAAAATTGTAGATTTGGACATAACACTTCACTTTTGATGGTTAGTAATTTGGTACCCCATTATTGTTGAGTGAAATATTAGAGAGGAAGGTAAAAGGGATATGCAGAGATGACGAAAAGTCTGCTGTAATTGGCCTTCATTTTCTTCCTTCTGATTGTTTTCTCAGCTCTGAAGTTTCATCTTTCTGTTGAAAGTATGACTTTTCTCTTGGATGAAGAAGCTTTGTTAGTGTTCTTATACAATAATTTTATCCAGTTTTCAGAGTTGGCAATATGAACAAACTATTTTATTTGTGCAATTTAAGTTCAAGTTAGCTTGAAATCCGAGTTGCTTTGTTCTTGTTGACAACAAATGTAATAGAACAAACTGAAGTTTAGTAAATCTCTCATGATGTATTGTCTTTTCAGGCTCATTCTGAGACAAGGGTATTTCCATACAATCTTCTAATGTGGAGCAACTGAGTTTGCATTGTTGGAAATGATACAGAGAAATAACTAATGAGGGTCTGGTGTTGTGATTCTCCAATGGTGGGTACAAATTGAGGCCAAGTTGGCTGCACAATGGCTAGTGTTACAGGACGATGTGTGTTCGTTGTCCGTGCTAGAATAATTGATGCTTATGGTTCTGGATGCAAATTCGTCGTAGTCTCAAGATCACAACTTCTCCACATTGGTTATCAACTGCAACTGCTCGTATGAGTTAAACCTGAGAGTTCCTCTCAGGTTGAGGTTGTTGATGAATGTTGAGGGCTCCCCCTGGGCCTGGCCCTCAAGGTGATTGGAGCTCTTTTAGGGAGTGAACCTGAAATATATTGGACAAGTGCCAAGAACAAATCGACCCGATGCCAAACCAATTTGCAAATCTTGTGAAGTTGTTAAGGGGGATGGAAGTTGAGTATCGGTTGTATGCCAGAGAAAGACTGTTTCCTAATATAGTTTGCCTGAGAATATAAAATTCACTTTTTAGCCATTCAGCCATACTGTATTGCATGATAATGTCCCCCACTAGTCTCCACACAACCAAATAGAGACTTAAGTAATGCTTCATTTTTGTTCATTTCTCAGGTCAGGCCCTTTATGCTGCATATTCTGGAATTTCTGTTTCTCACTATGATGTGCTGAGGGACCTGGTTGTCCACTTGAATAGCGCATATCATACGATTTCAATTTCTGTATCTCAACATGATGCACCGAGGACATCAACAAAAGGAGACAATTTGGTCATGCCTTTTGGAGAGAACATCAGAACAAGGGCTCTAAAAGAAAGGGGGAAGAAGAATGCTGAGAGCCAACATTCAATGAACCAAAATCGTCTATATGCTCTGGTAGACTTGCTGCTTCTTTTTTTTTTTACATGATTCTGAAGAAATCAACTCTTTGTTTGTTGAAAGCCTCAATTTGATTTTTTTTTCTTCTTATTCTCCTCATGATTCTGTCTCACTCGAATATGTTTAACTGCGATTGATCTTGTCCATTATTAATTTCAGACAAAGTGGAAGAGATAGACTAAAACTAGATGGATTACTCAATCATTCCAACAACCTGTTATCCATAACATGCCAACGTTTCGAGCTCTCACCCTCGTACCAGACCTCTTGACTTTCTGAAGCCTTCAGGGTGAATCAGGAGAGGAATATTACTCATGTTCCTTTTGTTGATGACTCTATTCTGTTCTGAAAAGCAGAGGAATGACAAGTAGAGACCACAAAGGCAATTTTGGTAGAATTTGAGAGATGATAACTCAGGATAAAAAAATTGTAATGCACAAATCAGCAACCTTTTTCAGCAACAATACTGACAATTACAGCAGAAGAGAATCATAAAAGTACCTAGTGGGTTGGCAGAATAGTCCAAAAACGTTTATCTTGGCTATCTAGAAGTTACATTGCCAATGAGAATGATTCATAAACCAAATGAGAATGATTCATAAACCAAAATCTTATAAATCATTCTTATTAAAAAAAAAATTAGAAAAACAAGTGATGATTACAATTTTCTCTCTCTCTCTCTCTCTCTCTTTATTTTGACATACTGTTTTGTCATGACCCATTTTACATCCAATTCTATAACCATCACTCTCTCACATTACCTTTTATCATCATCATTGCCGTCGACATATCTATATCCCACAAGGAAGGCACATCAAGAAAAAACTGCGATCAACTTAGGGGTATAAAGGGTAGATGAATAAAAGAAGTTTTCTTGATTAGTTTGTCTATTGACTTTTAAATTAATGAAATATCTTGTTTCTTACTTCTAAATTCTTAGTGTAATGTTCATCCTTTGTCTAATTATTCGTGATTTCTCTCTTACTACTTTCTATCTTTGCAATGTAAACTGATGTAGGTTTATGAATTTTAAGATTTACAAATGCAGTAATGTTGAATTTTCAAACCAAATCTAAAAATCTTTTGAAAGATACAAAAATTAAAATATAAATCTAAACAATCGAAAATTAAAATTAAAATAAAAGGAGTAGATGCACTTGAAGAATTAAATTTATGAGTACTAAAAATGATGAAATAAAAATTTGGGATGAATAAAATCGTTAGACTAAAACTTTGGGGACCAAAATTAGTTTTTATTAGATTTCTTTTTCTGGGTTGAAATTAGTGGGACCCACTGTCAGGAAAAAATTAATATAATATCGTGCATGTAATGGAAAACGGTTAGTTCCCTCCAAATTCCGTTAAAAGATCAAAAGTGCTACGAAAAAACTTTATGGGGACTAAAATTGGAGACAAAATGTTTGTGGTGGCTGTGGTTGGGCTACCCCTAAACATTAGAGACTAAAACGAGTATTTGTCCTAAATATAAACCCAGCGTAATATAGTATAACACATGGACAACCCAGAAAGTAAAACAAAATTCTAGAGGATCAAGGAACCTGCGACCCAAAGAAAAGTTCAGGTTGCCACAACCTATCAACCCAATTCCAGATAACAAGTAACAGTGTTTCCAAATAAGCCAACTTTCCACACCCTTAAATACATTCAATACGTATCAAAGATTCATGATGGCACAATTCAATCAATTTATAGAAATTCAATAACAGAGTTCAAATCATGCACTTTATTTGATGCGCCTACACCTGGTTAAGAGAGTGCAAGTAAACAAATTCCAGAACCAAAACAATCTCAATTATCAAAAAAGCCGTATTAACATTAGTTTACCTTTTCAGTTTCAAAATCTTACAAATTTAAATGGTGAATGAAGAGAATTTGGAAAATGCTTCTTTGATTCATAAGCTTGATCCAGGGTGAGAGAATCGGGTTTAGTTCTTAGTTTAATTGAACTTTGTATAGCTGCTTGTTACGTTTTTACCCTTTCTGATTAAATAGATGTAGGACTTAAAATGCAGGACTTTTTAGTCTTTTACTATAAGTCAGTTAAAGGAGTAAATGCTATATATATACACATTCAGACAGAGTTAATGCATCTGATTATCATTTTTCTTCCCAGATTCAATATTCGAATACTTTTCCCCAAACTGAGCTTCTAGCTTGTTCTTTAGAAACCCTAGATGTTTGCTCTTCAATTCATCTAGATGGTATCAGAGTAGGTTAATCCTGCTATTGAAAACCGTTCTAGTAGTTAAATCTTGATAAACCTCATAAACCACTTCCGTTAATTCAAAGAAATGGAGGAGAATCATTTCGGAGAAGGTTCCCGAAGAACGACGATTAGATCTGATGGAGCTCGAATTGAGCGAAGGAATGAAGACTTCCTAGATGATCGAAGCTTTTCTGAAGCTCGTAGAGAAAATTCGGCCATAAACTATGGCAGATCCATGCACCCTCTGACCTTGCTGCCATATGATACTTTGAGTTTGTCAATCATCAACTATCAATTGACTTCAATGAATTATGTCACTTGGAGTCATTCCATGAGAACAGCATTAAGTTCAAAGAATAAGCTTGGTTTCATTACAGGTTCTGTGATCAGACCTTCAGAAGAGGATCAAGATTTTGAACAATGGTGTAGAGTCAATGATACTGTGATATCCTGGATCTTGAATTCTATTTCGAGTGATTTGCTGGAAGGTTTTAATAT